AAATAAAAAATGAAAAAAATGAAAAATGAAAAAAATGAAAAAATAAAAAAATAAAAAAAACTCCTAAAAAAAATAATAGCAAAGATACATCGACGCCCAAGCATCAATATATCGACTCTGAACGATATAATTCTCATTCTAAGCCCAACCTCCACTCAAGACAAAGTAGCGTAACGCGACGACAAACGTTTCTTGAGCTTCTGTTGCTGGTAAATATAGTCCATGGTGATAACCCATTCAAGCTCTGGCGGGAGGACAAGATCCGCTTTGCTCGTGGTTTCATCAGAGCCACACATACATCCTGTACACTCACCCAGGTACCACATGTGGTCCAGAAGGTGAATGGGAAGCATGCTGTTGCTGCACGCAGGGTCCTCGGCTGTGGTCTTTGAAAGGCACTCCGTGCCTGTCATGTCGCTGCAGTTCCTGTAGCTCGTGGAGCCGGCATTGTCGTACCACACCTCGTGGGGCTCGTGCTCAAACCCCATGAACATGGGTGGAAGGTGGGGCACAGGATCCCGCATGTGTGTGACGCGGTACACCTCGTGGCCGCCGCTGCAGAACAGTGCGACGATCCAGTTGGCAAACTCAGTGTTGCCCACGCGCGGCGCACCAAACGTGTACAGCTCAATCCTCGGCACCGCGCCGGAGGCGTACGGCCGCGACGCAAATTCTGCAGCAGCGAGCTCGGCCATGGCACCACCAAGACTGTGCCCAGTGATGAGCACTGGCAGCCTCGGGTGCGCCCCAACGAGATCCTGCAGGTACTTCCACATTTGCTCCTGCAATGATGCAAATGAAGTGTAGAATCCAGTGTGAACCTTGCATCCGGTGCAGTTGGGATTTATGTAGGAAGCATGATAGAAGTTTAAATTATGTATCCAGTTACGAATGTTGTGCGATCCCCGAAAGCTCACGACAATGTGGCTCGTGCTGACGCCCATGAAGGCCTGTGTGCCCGCCAAGGCATTCGATATTACCCGCACCTTTTCCATTCCCGGGTGTTCGGTGCAGGATACACAGCTCCAGTTCCCGATGGCTGGACCGTCGCAGTACGATGCCTTCGCAAGGCCCAGCGCCGTCGCTGCCACCGCCTGGGTGTAGGCGGCCCCAACGTCCCCTGCGGAGACGAGGATGAGGACGACGGCCACGACAGCCACGGTGCGGGGGC